CCGTTCTCATTCGTACTTAACCTTACTTCTACCGTGGTAAACCACTGTTTATCCGCAGTACATACACCCCGGTACTTGTCGTTCCGTATTTAACTGTGTCGTACCGTAAGAATCCGTATCACTCATGTCACCAAATGACCCCTTTCCTGCATTACCCGTGGCAGATACGTCAAAACCCGTGTCACACCGTGGTGCAACCTTATCAGATCCGTATCGGACTACGGAATCTGCATTTCCGGGATCATCCGTGAGATTTAATCCGTAGTGGAACCGGCGAGGTGATCCGTGAATGTGTGACCTAGGCATAACGTAATCCATCTTTTTTTCGTTTTCTCTCAGTTTTCAACTTTTTACGAAATCTCAATTTGTCATTTGCATCACATTTTAAAACCCTTTGACTGATGTTGGTTACAGAATAAGTATTATATATTTTGAAGGCATTTATTTTCGTTTTGTCGTTCTAACCAACTATTGTCTAACCTTTACATGCAACAATAAGGCGAGATCCATTTAACTTGAAGTGAGTCCTGGTATCCAATATTGTCAGAACAACAGCCAGAGAAATCCTTGACTTTCACATTTTTGGGTGTGAACGTACGTACCAAGTCCATATAAATCAAGAAAAGCGCTTCGGGCATTCGAAATTAATAACGCGTTATATATTCATTGACCGTAATTACAAATGACATTTGTCCTGGTCATTCATATCGTTAGAATAAAACCATTGGTATTCAAAGTAACGGGAGGTAGTATTTATAAATCAATTTATGAAATCAGTATTGATGTTATCAGTCATTTTACGCGTTCCGTTGATTTGACATTATGACATGTAGTTAAATGTAGACCATATACTACCTTATCTGCAATGAAACTTCAGTAGAAACTCACGATTTACAATGCTTCCACTATCAAACAAATGTGTATTTAAACATGCTGTCAACATGGCCTAGCCTGGCGCTTATTGTTTTGACATTATCTGACATATTTGGAACATGTTATGGTATGTATATACCTTAAAAGACCATGGTTGTATATTAAATTTAAAATAACAAAAAATATTACTCTTTAGAATAGTTTGAATATCATTATAAATGTATTTTTCTGTAATGTGTCCTTAACCTGTTCGATTTTTTAAGGATTATGCAATGAAGAGTTGATATCACTTCCATGATAATGTATTGTGACAAGGAAAATACATACATTTGTCTACATGTATGCATGGACATCCATCAAATTGAATATGAGTAAGAATTTTGTCAGTGTTTGTCTCTGAATAATCGATGTTGCTAATTCCATGACAGAACATGATAATATGGAACCAAATACATTGAATAAAATTGAGAATGGAAATGGGGAATGTGTCAAAGAGACAACAACATGTATTCCTTATTTAAACTAAAAAAAGAAAGTTTTTTGTTTTTAGCTTTAACCAATTCTTAAACTACATATCAGTGGCGGATCCAGAACTTTTTATAAGGGGGCCCACTGACTGCCATCAGAGGGGGCCCGCTACAGTCATGCTTTAGTGATTCTCTATATAATCCCTACGAAAGGGGGCGAGGCCCCCAGCCCCCCCTCCCTGGATCCGCCTATGCATATGCAATTGAACTGGTACTTAGTACTGTTCATTTTGTAGCTTTACTTTTTCAGTACCTCTGCTGGTGGACTATCAGTCCCCAAGGGTATCATCAGCTCAGTAGTCAGTACTTCGGTAATTATATGGTTTATAACAAACCTTTCTTAAATTGTCCGTTTATCATGTGACATTTAGAAATTACTAATATAAAGAAACTAAAATTTCAACTCCTTCAGACAAAGTTGACCTTTGATGGATTAGGCTATTTTTTGAAGGTCCTTTTGGTCATATAGATCTTCAACTGTTTCAGTTCTTATACATCCTTTGCTTTCAAATATTCGGCTTTGAGCGTTCTTTATGAAGGTAAATCCAGAAAAGCGCTTCTTGGTAGCATGAAATTTGTAAATTGTTGTTTTTATGTTTTATTAGCTCACCTGGCCCGAGCTTTTTCCATCACTTTGGCTCCGTCGTCTTTCGTCGTCCGTTAACTTTTACAAAAATCTTCTCCTCTGAAACTACTCGGCCAAATTTAACCAAACTTTGCCACAATCATCATTGGTGTATCTAGTTTAATAGATGTGTCCGATGACCCCGCCTGCCAACCAAGATGGCCGACATGACTAAATGTAAAACACACGAGTAAAATACTACGTTGTATGTCTATTATTTTGAAAATCACTATAAATAAAGAAAATCTGACGAGAGCAGAAATGTTCAGAATGTTGAGCTTTTAAATTACCTTGTCTGTTAACATCAAAACTGTCAGACGACTTCTTACAGCAGTTATTGCCCTTAAACGACGAATTTTACCATTTTTTTTTTCATTTTTGCCTATTATCTTGAAAGTATAACAAATAGAAAGAAACTTTGAAATGCGAAAATTAGCAGCAAGACAAAATCTACAAATAAGTCAGATTGCCGAAATCGTCAGACGACTCCTTATTACAGTTATTGCCCTTTAATAACGATTTTTACCAGGTTTATCCCTTATGGTTTTAAAACAAAAAAATCAGCATGACAAGGTACACAAACAAGTATAATGGACAAATTCAGTCGACTCGTTGTTGGAGTTATTGCTCCTTAAGGACGAATTTTACCAGTTTTAGTGGGTTTTTTTCTCTATTATCTTGAAAGCTATAGTAGATAGGTAGACACTTTAGAGCGCAAAAAAAAAATAGTTTTATTTTCATGAATTCTAGAGTGTCCATTGTTGAATACGCATATAGACCTAGTCTCTTGTGGAGAGTTGTCTCTTTGGCAATTATACCACATCTTCTTATTTTTATATAGGTGAGTGACACCAGGCTCCTTAGAAATATATAGTGCATGTACTGATGAAATGCAAGGATAAAGGGTTAACACCAACAATATCGATATAGAAAGTTTTCTTTCGTTTGCTGTATTGAAATCAAATAGTTTAATAAATCATATCGACATTTTTAGCTCACCTTTCCAAAGGAAATGTGAGCTTTTGCCATCCGTCGTCGTCCGTCTGGGGTAAACTTTTTCAAACTTCTTCTCCTCCGAAACCACTGAACCAATTCAAATTAAACTTATACTGAATGATCCTTGGGGTATCTAAAATAAAGTTGGTGCTTTATTTTTTGTTTCTTCAAAAAACATGGCCGCCATGGCTAAAAATAGAACATAGGGGTAAAATCACTTTTTGCCTTATATCTCAAAAAGTAAGGCATTTAGAGCAAATCTGACAAGGGGGCTGGGGTGATTAAAATGTTTATTAGGTCAAGTTCTATCAGCCCTGAAATTTTCAGATGAATCTAACAACCCATTGTTGGGTTGCTGCCACTAAATTGGTAATTTTAAGGAAATTTTGCAGTTTTTGGTTATTACCTTGAATATTATTATAGATAAAGATAAACTGTAAACAGCAAAAATGTTCAGCAAAGTAAGATCTACCAATAATTTTAACCTGACCAAAATTGTCAATTGACCACTTCAGGAGTTATTGCCCTTTAAGGACAATTTTACACAATTTGTATATCATGTTTTCTAACTTTAAAAATCTTCTTCTCTGAAACTACTGAACCAATTCAACCAAACTTAGGCTGAATGATCCTTATGGTATCATAGATCCTTATGGTATCTAAAATAAAGTTTGTGTTTTATCTTCTGTTTCTTCAAAAAACATGGCCGCCATGGTTAAAAATAGAACATAGAGGTAAAATGCAATTTGTGGCTTATATCTCAAAAAGTAAAACATTTAGAGCGAATCTGTCATGGAGGTAAAAATGTTTATTAGGTCAAGTTCTATCAGCCCTGAAATTTTCAGATGAATCTAACAACCCATTGTTGGGTTGCCGCCACGAAATTGGTAATTTTAAGGAAATTTTGCAGTTTTTGGTTATTATCTTCTTGAATATTATTATAGATACAGATAAACTGTAAACAGCAAAAATGTTCAACAAAGTAAGATCTTCAAATAAGTTTACCTGACCAAAATTGTCAATTGACTCCTTAAGGAGTTATTGCCCTTTAAGAACAATTTTACACAATTTGTTAATCATGTTTTCTAACTTTAAAAAATCTTCGCCTCTGAAACTACTGAACCAAATTAAACCAAACTTTAGCTGAATGATTCTTAGGTTATCTAGAATAAAGTTTGTGTTTTATTTTCTGTTTCCTCAGAAAACATGGCCGCCATGGCTAAAAATAGAACATATAATAAAATGCAGTTATTGACTTATATCTCAAAAACCAAAGCATTTAGAGCAAATCAGACAATAAGTTTAAAGTATTCACTAGATCAAGGTCTACCAAATTATCAGCCAAACTGGGTATTTGATTTTTAGGTTATTGCCCTTGAATTGATGATTTTAAGGAAATTTTGCAGTTTTCGGTTATTATCTTGAATATTATTATAGATAAAGATAAACTGTAAACAGCAAAAATGTTCAGCAAAGTAAGATCTACAAATTCGTTTCAATGACCAAAAGTCAATTGACCCCTTAAGGAGTTATTGTCCTTTAAAGACAATTTTTCACAATTTGTTCATCTAGTTTGCCTACTTTTAAAAATCTTCTCTTTTGAAACTGCTGAATCAATTTCAGATAAACTTGGGCTGAATGAGTTTCAGAGTATCTAGTATAAGTTTTGTATTTTATGTCCTTGTACGTCAGGAAACATAGCCACTATGGCTAAAATGGAACATAGGGGTAACATGCATTTTTTTGCTTTTGAAGAAAATATGACAGATACAAAGAACATTTAAATGGCATGTTTAAGCCACTATTTAATATATATTGAAAAGCAAAAATAATCACTGATGAAAGATTTAAGCAAAAAATTGCAGGTGAACGATTCAGGATCTTGAGAGCCTCTTGTTATTGATATTCTCCGCTGTAACATAGACGAGGGGATTTTTTTTAAAGCCGTTCTTATCATCGCTTACATTATTTTTCAGGTATTCCATTCGGTAGGTTCTATTTACCTATAAGAGACGAAGGCGGGGATATATTGATTGACACTTACACAATAGAACGTGTTGAAAACGCATATGAGCTTCTTGGTCTGTTCAGTAAGAGGCTGATGTTGGCGACAGAGATCATAAGTTTATCTGAGGAGCTAGACAATGGAGGTAATTATAATTTTTCTATGTTTGCTATAAACTAAATCATAGAAACTACGCTTACAATTTTGTATGCCAGACGCGCGTTTCGCCTACAAAAGACTAATCAGTGACGTTTTAATCGAAATAGTTCAAAAGGCCAAATAAAGTACGAAATTGAAGAGCATTACTACTAGTATAATATTGAGAAACCAAATTTCCGAACGGTTTTGCCAAATACGGCTAAGACTTTCGGCACATACCTATACATTCATGACGGTCAACTTTCGTTCTCGGGTAATTTCAATATTTGTACAGCAAATGAAAATGAAATATTGTTAACCAACCACAATACTAACGCAGACAACAAAAACGAACTAGTGTTACGGTGATTTATGCACTAAATTCTTACTTCATAAACATAAGAAATCACTCATCCGCAAAGGTTGCATTAAATAATAATAGTATAGCGCTATTGCGAGAATATTGATAAATATTGTCCCCCGTAGATTTTTATCAATATATTCTTCTAGGCATAATATGAACCAATATTCACTCATTAACTCTTTTAGCGATAGCAAAGCTTAAAAAAAACATTTTTTTTGTCACTGAAGACATCAATAATTTGAACTTATTTACGCTCGTTCACTTTGATGTATTATTACACAACAATTTTAGTTCACGTTCTGTATGAAATATGTTGCTGCTATACAATAAAGCGAGGTATAATTATTTCAGTAAAACACATAAATAGAAAATATCGTTATTTCATTCCACACTTCAGTTGCTGCAAAACTTCGATTATCTGCTTATGATGACGACGATGACGAACAAGTTGACGAAGACGACGATGGAACATATAAAGCACTAGATGATTATCATCGTCATACGTCAAAACAATTCATGGCTCATTTAAGAGGTGAGTTATTGTGGTTACAAATAATGTGTTTTTCATTATAATATGGGAAGTTTCAGGATTTTTTGTGATTCCAAAAACTACTCATAAAGTGTATGTTCTTCGTATCGATTTGGCATTCATTGTTTGTGTCTAATGATAACTATTGGAGCATGCATTTTATATTGAGAATTCAAGTTTGCTCATTATTTAATGAATAACATATTTGATAAACTGGTTTTACCAGCATTCTTTCATAAGAAGTCATATAAAGACAACTTCTATCCAGAGCTATAAAAGTAAGAAGATGTGGTATGATTGCCAATGACACAACTCTCCACAAGAGACCAAATGACACAGAAATTAACAACTATAGGTCACCGTATGGCCTTCAACAATTAATGAGCAAAGCCCATACCGTACTGTCAGCTATAAAAGGCCCCAAAATGACAAATGTAAAACAATTCAAACGAGAAAACTAACGGCTTAATTTATGCACAAAATAATGAACAATAAACAAATATGTTACACGGCAACAAACGACAACCACTGAATTACAGGCTCCTGACTTGGGACAGGCACATACAGATTGTAGCGGGGTTAAACTAGTTTGTTGGCACCAAATGCATGACATGTGATTTTTCCCTTACTTGTATACCTTTTTTCAAGTATGTTGATTAAATCTTCGCTTTATTTCTGTCATTCTTTAACAGATGGTTCTACAAAATCAAGGCTACAAATATAACACAGCATTGACTGTTAAGTAGTGCTGCTAATGTCAGCATTTTAAAAGTATGATACATATGAGGCAATTCAAAATACAAATCGACGGATAATAAGTCAATTGCCAAATTAAATCCAAAATCAACGAATTAAACACATTTCAATGACCACGACAAGTGCTTGTTTTTTAAACTTTCAGTCACGTTCGAGAAAAAAATTGAAATCCAGTTGCATACCATGTTTAACATCACCATAATACAGAAAGGAGTCAAAAGTTACCTTGACTTCCCCTTTTGTGGGAAAAATTTGGTTGATTATACATGTATAAGGAATCACTGAAGCAAGACTGGAGCGGGCCCCCTCTTAGGCAGTCAGTGGGCCCCCCTTATAAAAATTTATGGATCCGCCACTGTAATTTCCTACTTCAAATATAAAGAAAATCACATGTTTATTCGCATAGATATATAAATTATATAAGATATTTTTGTAGTAATAGAGACACCATTTATGACTTTAATTATTTGACAGTACTGGCGGCGATAGCACTAGTGTTGGCGTTGGCGTCAAAATCAGTAACAATCATATTAACATAAACATAACATAAGTCTACATGCAACTTTTAATCATCACAAAGGAGATTATTTTAAAAGAATAATATAAATAGTTCACAGTTTAATCTGTTATGTAAATAATAAATTTTATGGAATTTACTAAATACAGCAACTAAAATTGTTTATAAAAACTGTTTTATATCTATTCGTCAGATTTTCTCCGAAAGTCCAGTAAGCATGGTATAAGTTTCAATGATACAGCTGACTTCCTATCGCGTGAGTACGTTTTTGTTTTTAGTTCAGTATATATATGTCAAATGTAGGCCGTTTTATCGGTTATGTAGTAAATTATAGTCATTAATTTCCGAAAAGGGATCGAGGGAGCTAGGTTATGTTTAAAAGATTGTTCTCAGGACACAACATAGCACAACACGCTTGTGAAGTGAGGGAGTTATCTGATGTTGACAGAAAAGTCTAAAGAATGCTAGATCTAGACAAAGTCAGATCGCTTACACTTAATAACATACAGTTGATTCAAAGTCTATATCAGAACATCTTTAAGGAATACTGTTGAATTCGACACTTAGATCGTTGACGATTTAATTGAACGACAAATTGATAAAGTGGTTAGCGTTTTCAACTTGACTGTAACATTCACAGTGGTCTCTAGGATAGAGAACGTCGAAACGCATACCGCGTGTGTTATTTTAATATGTTTTTCCTGAAATACAAGTAATACTAGCAGCACGAAAGCTTTCACCTTAAAATCTACACTCGATTTGGATTTAAAATTCAAGGGATAACAACATCACATTCAAATTTTCAATGCCTTTGATTCTCTATATTTATGCAATATATGTTTATTTCAGACATATTTGCGTCAGTTGACGATCATGGTATGCCATTATGCTTAAGTGATTGCATTGTAAGAGCCAAACATCAGCAACCCTCTCCGTCTCCACCCTATACTACAGTGCACCCAATTGTACAAATGATAGGACATCCTCCACGGGAAGATCATCATAACCACCAAGGTCATACAGATTACCAACAAGTTGAAATATTTTTTTATTGCAGTAATGCTTGCAAAAATGCTTTATTGGGTCGTGGAATGGATACTTTGGGTAAGCTTTATGATCATATTCACAACAATCTGTAGATTATCTATTCTTTGTCACTTGTACAACTGTTAAAGCAGCCTTGGAGGCACCGTTGCTAACTCCCTGCTTAAATTAGTTCATGCGTGATACCACACTAAAAACTATCATCTGCTCGCCATCTTGCCAAGTTGTGACCATTTTCAACAATAAGATGATTGATTGGTTGATTGTTGACTGCCAACTTAATGCAGCAAATATCCTAAATAATATCCAGGACGATAACATATTTTAAGGATGTTCGTTACTCAGTTTTAAAATAACAAGCTTTTTATTAGACTGTTATACATTGATAGTTTATAAAGAATGAATGGTCAGTGTCCTCGTTTTTGAGATATAAGCAATTGAAAATTTGGCGGGAAATGATTCTCTCTAGATTTTTCATACATTTAATAATGGCACCTTTTTCCTTTCAAAAACTATGAAAAAATAACAAGGATTTTATAAGATTTTCAAAATGGCTTTTTATACAATATGTAATAAAATTATGAAAAGAAAAGTAGGATTTTATTTGAACTACATGGATAAAAACTAGAGGACTCCAAATATCTGACAAATAGTCAAAAACATGGAAAGCGAACATCCTAAATGAGATAGGATCTACCTTGCTTAGCACTGGACCGACAAAACGCTACATGTATCCAATATAAAGATGGGAGATTGTCATTGCCCTTTTTTATGTTAATACAATAGAATAGATGAACGGATTTGTGATTTTCTAAAATCTCTTTCGTTATTGATGTAGGTGTAAACGTGGGATTCTCATATTTGCTGCTAATTTCAAGTTCTCTATTTAGACATTCCAAATAATAATGTTTGCATATAAAAGAAATATTACTTGAGGCTTTATCTGCTGGAATAGTTGTCGGGAAAAGAGGATAAAGCTTCCAAAACCTTGCGCTTCTTGGATGGATTGAAACACGGCATGTTCTTCGTGGTACAACAAACGTACTCAGTTTCGCAGAAATATAACTGGTTTTATAACGTTCATTCCAAAATGAATTTACTGAGAAAATATGCGCAGTGTATGATAGAAGTTTGACACTAAAATTCATACTTTTAACCGAAGTTTGAGAACCAAGGTGTTTAACTTTTTGAGACACAAGGAAGGCAACCAAAATTAGAAAAATGTTCTAGAACTTGAATTCTCTAAAAAGGATGCGTAAATTTACTTTAACGTTTATTATTTTATTATTTCAGGAAAATAGGAAAAGGCATGGTGAATGGGAAAAAAAACATTGTATATAAGAAAATAAATGCTGGCATTTGTTGTGGTATTCTATGCAAAGTGCTTTACACATGATTAGCTCGAATGTTTCCTTAATATATTAATTTGAATTCGTTTAATGATAAGTGTAAGGTTTTCCTTTTTAATGTTGCTTCTTATATCAGTAACTTTGTCGAAGGATATTGAAACTATTTTCAAAAACTTTTCATTGTTACATTTGAGATAACATGTAAGTAAATGGGCGATCTCACGGACTTAAAATGCTTGTTTCTCTATGATTGACATATGTCAGCAACCCAGCAACACATATGAATATCTAAACATTATAATATATGCAAATAAAATTTCAAGAAGATAGAAGTACAAATGTAAAGAATTCACGCAAATAACACTATAGTTTGATTTTATTCTGCTTGCTTTAGAAACATATCAGGAAAGCTCAATTAAAACAAAAACGAAAGCCAAGGATACATAAATGAGCAATGAGCAAAATAAAAGTCGAACGAGCAATTTGAGAAAATAACAAAATGTTAAACTCTTTTGTTATCAAAATTATGGTTTCGCGACAAAGTGGCATATGGCTGAAAGCAATTTTCCTTATTTTGTGTCTGCTTGTGGTAGGTTTTTTGATTGTTTGAGATTTAAAAAAAAAACAAATATTAAACATTGCACTAATGTTTAGTTTGGGGATAAGATGAATGAACATACTAATTTTGATAAGACATGCTTATTATGATTTTCGGTGTGGTTTAATATCTGTGTGGGTTTTTATCGTGTCCGATTGATAGGTTTTTGATTAGACTTGCCGCAAACATATACCGAAAAATAAGTACGATCTAATGTTGAGAAATTTGTTTTTACCTGAAAATAATTTATATTGCATTTTATTGGAATTGTTATAGTAATAAAGGTTATTTTTTTAAATGTAATTGATAAGTAAACTCAGGCTTTCACTTCAAATTTTTTCACACTGTGATTAACGTAAAAATAAGAAGATGTAGTATGATTGCCAATGCGATAACCCTCCACCAGGGCTCTCGTTTATATTCACTGATTTACAGGCTTCTGTGCAACTTTGGACAGACACATACAGAATGTGGCGGGGTTAAACATGTTAGCGGACGCCTAGTCATCCCCCAACCTGGGACAGTGGTGCAACAGCACAACACACAAGAACAAACTATACAAAATAATGAACGAAAAACAAATATGATTAACAGCATCAAACGACAACCACTCAATTGCAGGCTCCTAGTTGACTTTTGACTGGCACATAGAGAATTATACGACTGGTTTAAACATGCGTGTGGTCCCCCCCTACAATTTAGTGTAAAAATGTCGTTAATAGTCTGAGAATGATTTTGTGCAATGTCAAAATATAGTACTAGTATCAACTGAATGTAGGACGGCGGCCGAGTTTACATATCAATAACGTCCTTCTTAATAACCTTTAAGTAATACTATAATCAATATGTGTATTTCGGGTTTCATAACAAAACAGATTTCAAAGATAAACTGTGTTTGCTTTATATAGTCGGTTTAGTTTTGTTATGATAACTAAGAGACGTTGCAAGTCTAAGAAAATCACTATTTGGTAGAATGCAAAATGCATATGCAATAATTCAGTATATTTCATATCTTTACATATGGGACAAATGTATACATTATACAACGTACATACTTACCCATAACATTTCTGCTGAAAGAGGTTAAATAAAAAGGTGGGAACGGTAGAAAACTTTTTTTGAAAAGTGGCATCGCCAAATGAGACTTATTACCGAATTTGTACTTGCATGAGCAACACGTGGGTTGTCACATTTGGAGCTGGTTCTGCTTTATCCTTCCGGTGCACATGAGATGAATCCTGGTTCGTCTTGCTTAGTCGAGTTTTCTATGATGTGTTTTGTAATCTGTTGTTTATCTTTTATCTTTTCGTCTTTTTTTGGTTTTTTTGCCATGGCGTTGTCGACTGATGAGTTTGAGAATCCTTTTCGTATAGTTCGTTTTTGTTTTTGTTTGAATAACTGACAAATAATCCTTGCAAAACAATAATTATTATATGCTGCATTTAAAACGCGAGAGTTTAAGAGCGTCTTTTAAAAATAGAATCAAAGCAAAAACATCAAAAGAATAAAAACTAAAAAAATCAATAAAAATGGCACTTCTTTGTTATTACTGACTGAATTTTAAGCAAACAAATGAAATGTTTTATGTTTTACACCGGTATATTTTATCAGAAGGTGGACTCGTGGTTTAATTAGGGCTTTGCGATCTATCGTATATTTTAGCACGTTTTGTCTGTTTTCTTAGACTTTTGATTTTTTTATTGCCCACTTGGTTTTCTTCAACCCCCGTTCGATAACATAGGCAGAGATGTAGATAAAAATATCTATGAAAGAACCTATAATTTCTAGAACTTTTTTATAGGTAGTTCTTGTTTCAACTGTATAATAAACGATATGCTTTATTAGCTAGTTTTGGTCATATAATCAGCAGATAATCTAATTTCTAAATGCTAGTAAACACTATAGCAAGTTATTTTGGACACAATTGGTCTAGGAATTGAGTTATTCAAAGAACTTTTAAGTTGTTTTCTTTCTTGTTTAATTAATTATGACTTAACTCGTCATATTGTTGTAGGATTTATCCGTGTATATGATGTGTATTGGTGATAATTTTATAAACTTACTTTGGATTGAGATTTTCCTCCGTATAATAAGAGGTGTGCCTTGATTGGCGGAATTTCTAGTATACAGATTACATAGTTGTCAATCTATTATAAATTCAGAGTTACCCGTCCTCAGATCCGATGACTTTTTAATGTACGTTCCAAATTATGTACTTGTGATGGTTTTGGTGGCTTTAGTAAAAACAAGTGAACTGCGAGCTACTGGATAATTTTAATAGTGTAAAAATATGTAAGTGTTCGGGAAACAGGAATTTGTTGAGTGATGAATCTGAAAACGCATCACACGGTATATCTGACTTATATAAACCCTGAAACCAAATTTTAGAAATCCTTATGATGTAGTTCCTGAGAAAAATGCGACGAAAAATGTTCATGGGAGGTGCGGACGGAAGACTGAGAAACACGAACCCCACCTTTAACTGGTGGTGATCTCAGGTGCTCCGGAAGGGTAAGCAGATCCTACTCAACATGTGGCACCCGTCGTGTTGCTCATGTAAGTACAAAAACGGTGATATATCTAATTCGGTAGGTCATATACGAGGGAAAGGGGACGATATAGTAGTTACGACAATTGGAACTAATCCCTCGTCACCTGTGAAAGATACATTACATAACGGTCAACCAACTCGTAATGGCGTCCTCAAAGGCACCCTCAAAGAGACAACATCCCGACCAAAGAACAGAAAACAGCCAAAGGCCACCCATGGGTCTTCAACGCAGCGAGAAAATCCCGCACCCGGAGGCGGGCTTCAGCTGGCCTCTATAAACAATAATATGAACTAGTTCAGCGAAATAAACGCCACACTAAACTCCGAAACATATAAGTGAACCAAAATTTAAAAACGCACAAGACTAACAAAGGCTTGAGGTTCCTGACTTGGGACAGGCGCATAAATGCGTCAGGGTTAAACATGTTTTTGTGGTATGCCGTAAATACTGCACGGACGTTCTTAAGAATGAAATTTTAAATTCTTCTACATTCAAGTCCGTACGCTCCACAGAGAGTCGTATAGTAAACAATCATATCATAACCAAGTCACAACTTAAGGTCTCGTCTGAACATTTGAAGGTACCTACCATGTATCGGTTACCTAAACTACACAAAAAACCAGTAAAATATAGTTTCATATGGCCTCTAGTAAGTGTTCTACAACTTCTATTTCAGTGCTTTTAACTAGTTCCTTAACTATACTATCAAAGAACTTATCATTAACTTTTGTAATAAAACATATGAAAACAGTGGAATTAACTATTTTTGGAGTGTAAAAAATCTTTATATGTTTTATATTAATTACGTGCATTTGATGGTCCTTTTGATTCTGTTGACAGTTTTGACTTTTCATCTCTTTACACTACACTTCAAGTCTTCCACACAAGTTTTCCTATTTAATTAAATGGTCGTTTGGTAAATCTGAATGCAAATATATTTGCTGCAACTCATTTAAAACCATCTTCTCCAACGAGAAAGGTAAATATGCTAGATATACTTACTGGAGGTGTGATGAGATGATTGAAGCTGTTGATTTTCTCCTTGATAATATTTATGTACGTTTCGGCAATAAAGTTTATCGACAGGTTGTAGGTATTCCTATGGGCACCAATTGTCCTCCCTTGCGCAGACTTTTTCTTGTACTGTTTTGAATCACAGTTTATGTCCAAACTCAGTAAAGACCCTTCTAAATTACATTTAATTGATAAATTCAACAACACTTATCGTTATCTTGATGATATTTTTCGTTAAATAATCAAGAATTTTCTAAATATACTGCCGAAATTTACCCAAAATAACTTACTTTAAATAAATCAAATATAAACGGTAATAGAATGAATTTCATAACAACGTGGACATGGACACATGGTAATTAAATGTTATCGTGTGTTGTAACAAAGACTTCACGCACTTACAGTATTCAGGGACCTCTCAAATTCTCAAAGGAGATATACATAATTACTATCTTTACACATGTTCATTCATAAAGTAAAAGTTTTTGAATGAAAGTTGATTGGGATTTGTTTTGAAGATATTTATATACTCACAACAAAAAGTTTCTTTTGACAGAATGAGTGTATTCAGAGGTGATATCACCAAGTAGACAAGAAAAAAAACGTTTTGTTTTTTCGTGCACAAACGTTCTGTGGCTCCTCAAAAAAAATAAGAAAACATTTATTCGTACGAGTTGATGTGGAGTAATTTACGATCAACTTTCATTCAACTTTCATTCTAAGATTATTTTTGTTGGTAATAAGAACCCCGGACCTTCGTAAAAAATAATTTTAGTCCTCTGGGTTGCATAAATTTTTGCACGGAACAAATTTGAATTTCCATCGAAGACTCTAACGATCAGATTTTCGTGAACATTTAAATATCATTCTAACAAAAAATAACTCGTGAAAATATCAACAAGCATATGAATCCGGTCCTGTGTGCAACATTTACTTTGATTGCAGTCAGAGTAGATTAAGTGGAAACATTGATATTTATTTTATTTTTATACCTGAACACGTATAACAAAATTTACGGGATCAATATTCTTTTACTACAAATAAAGCAGGTAATTTCAATGAATTTGGTCTAACTTACTCAAATTATTTTGTTATTTGAGGACAAATACTGAGACAATTCTCATAAACGTTTATTTGCAATTTTATTCATGCTGATTTCAAAAGCCTCTTGCATAGCCATCCCTCCCTTATTTCAACTGAATCAGGAATGGTCGCCCCTTACCATTTGAAATTATACTCACTTCTTTTTCGGTTTCTGTGTTTCAATATATATCCATGAATTTAATGATATGTTCACAATACCTCTGTTTTGGAATAATAAATCATGTGCACAAGACTAAACTGGTCAACTGTAGCACGAGATAATGTACAGGCTAGTATGTCAACATAACAGTAACAGTGTAATAATAACCTTTAAACTGGGTGCACGCGTTTAATTGTTATAGTATAAAAGGTATTGTGAACATATTTAATTCATGGATAGATACTGAAACACAAATTAAAAAAAAAATAAGTACAATTCTAAATAAAATCGTTGTGATCCGTCCATTTAACCGGTGGGGCACATTTCCTTATACATTATTTACAGATATAGGAAGATGTGGTATGAGTGCCAATGAGACAACTTCCATCCAAGTTACAATTTATAAAAGTAAACCATTATAGGTCAAGTTACGGCCTTCAACACGGAGCATTGGCTCACACCGAACAGCAAGCTATAAAGGGCCCCAAAAAAATACTAGTGTAAAACCATTAAAACGGAAAAAACCAACGGTCTAATCTATATAAAAACGAGAAACGAGAAACACGTATGAACTACATAAACAGACGACAACTACTGTAATCAGATTCCTGACTGACTTAGCATACTTATGCCCCCGTCAATGCATGTATATGTGTTTGTTTACAAAATTAATAAAGTTTTTTTTTTTTTTATTTTGGCGATTAATACACTGAATGATTTGCAGTGCATGATTTACTACTTGTCTATAACTGACACTGTGACACTACTTAATTTTTCACTTATTGCAAAAAAAAAAGAAGATTTTTTCTTACTTTTTTTCTCTCGATTACTTGGTGATGTCACCTCTGAATATACTCATTCTTTCAAAAGAAACCTTTTGCTGTGAGTATATAACTATATTCAAAACAAATTCCTATAAACTTTCATGCAAAAAAGAAATTATGAATGGACATGTGTAAAATAGTAATGAATAATATGTATATCCCCATTGAGAGGCCCTTGACATACTGTATTTGCGTGAAGTCTTTGTTGTCGACAGCCAGTGACCAACACGATATCATTTAAATATCAGGTGTCCATGTCCACACTGTTATGAAATTCATTCTAACTGTCCTTTCCTTTTAAATATACTTATTCTAAAAGGTTACCAAATCAACACTATAATTAAATCTTTGAATATTGTTTTATTGGTATTAATATTGATTTTGTTATCAGTAAATTAAAATAAAACTAAATATTATTTTTGTATACATTTATTTATATGCACATGCATGGCTCTACAAACTGCGATACCTGTATCTTGGCATTGCACAAGGTAGTGTTTTTCTCTGACTGTTTATGACGTCTTTACACTAAATCCATTGGATGTTGTATGTGTACTGATTGCTATTTTAGTCTTAGATGCATGATTTTTTTTATTAGTTATTATTGGCTTTGAAATAGCCGCCAGTAACTGTGAGTCCTCTCAGATCTGTGCTTAATGTCTTTTTGTTGTGAGGATGTATAAATACCCTACTACGTCCACTCTCTCTTTTTGTTGGATGCATTTCTTCTTTGTATCTATCTGATGAGTTTAGCCCTTTTCTGTAAAATTTATGCAGTGTCGATTTTAATCTTCTTCCTCATATCTCTGTTGTAGTAGGTTTTTTTTATTTGGTGCAATCTTGATTTGTCTCTTCTTAATCGATCTACGAGATTTTGCCATAGGTGGGCGAGTTTGTGGGTCTTTATTCGGCGGAATTAAACTCTTTTTCCTTACTGAGTTGGATCAGTGTGCAGGTCTTTATATACTGATGTACTATGGTCTACTGTCATATTATCGGTGGGGCGATTTGTCAGGTTTTGTTTCAGCGAACCTAAATCATTTTTATCATTAGGGCGGGATGTTGTCTTTAATCAGCTGCATTAACCACTTTTTTCATTTGTGTGGCGAGTTTGTATGTCTTTATTATGTGAGGTCAGTTGGATAACATGAATAGGGCGAGTTTAAAAAAAGTGGGCGAGTTTGACAAAAGCGGGCCGAGTAGTTCTAGGGCGAGTTGTAATGGGACGAGTTGTCAATAATTCCGATAAAGAAAACCGGAAAACTATTCCGTTTGTGGGTAAACCTTTAGTGTGGTCTGTACAACTTCCTACTGTTCGGCGTGATTTCGTTGAAAACAAAATATTTTTGCATTTTCCCACTCCTGTGTTTAAATCACAATGGACATCAAACGAAAAGCAGGAGACAGTGCCATGGTCCCTTTCAAAAAGCCAAGAACAGATCTGGTAGCTTACGGGTCTCAAGAAAAAGCAGTATTGCAGATGGTGCGTCGTCGTTCAATAAAACCGGCTTTCTAAGTTCTTTTACTTTAGGTGTCCCTATACTATAGGGTTAGGGTTCAATTAACGTAATGTTTAGATTAGTGTTATTTGTAGGTTAGGGCTAGTTTCAGGTTTATATATGGATTATAGATTGTATATTAAAGGATAGTTTAAAATTAAGAATGGAAAGGGGAATGTGTCAAAGAGACAACTGCCGACCAAAGAGCAGAAAACAGCCCAAGGCCACCAATAGGTCTTCAACACAGTGAAATCACGCTCCTGGAGGTGGGATTAAGCTGGCCCCTTAATGACAATGTGTACTAGTTCAGTAAATTTAGACGTCACACTAAACTCCGAAACATATAAATGAACCAAAATTTAAAAAACATACAAGACTACCAAAGGCAACAGGCTCCTAACTTTGGGACAGGCGCAAAAATGCGGCTGGGTTAAACAAGTTTTGTGAGATCTCAACCCTATACATCTTGCCAATATAGAATAAACAAACACATGAAACAGCAATACACACAATAAAACTCAGTTCTGAGTCTGATGTCAGAAAAGGTAACAGAAGAAACTAAGCAAAATGGCAATGATACATAAATTTATAAAGGACTATTAGCAGTTACTGACATGCCAGCTCCAGACCTCAATTAAACGGATTAAAAGCGTATGTCTTCATTATATGGAAATCAAGCACAATCCCTACCGTTAGGGGTTTAGTAACATACCATCATACATTTTTGTGTACATTGCTCAGTTCTAAATTTACATTCATTAACCGTACACAAAAAATAACCAGGCCTTGGCTGAAAGGTTGTTTGACTGTTATAGATAACTGAGGTTAGAGGGAGGGTTGATCACTCACAATCATATTAAATAGCTATACATTCTTTATGTGCCTGTCCCCCCTGTCCTACAAAAGCCTGTAATTCAGTGGTTGTCTTTGCTCATTTTCAAAGGCCTTACAGTGACCTATAGTTGCTTACGTCCACATTATTTGGACTCAGGCGGGTAGTTGTCTCATTGGCAATCATACCACTCTTTTATATAGAACAAACTTGTATTTTATTATTCATTGTCCAATTATGAACATGTTATTCCGTTGGTTTTCCTGTTTGAATTGTTTTACACTAGTCATTTTGGGGCCCTTTATAGCTTGCTGTTCAGTGTGAGCCAAGGCTCTGTGTTGAAGGCCATACTTTGACCTATAATTGTTTACTTTTTACACATTGTGACTTCGATGGAGAGTTGTCTCATTGACACTCATACCACATCTTACCCAAGAACATAGTTATTTCGTAGTGCATTTCTTTTAGACAATAAATTCAAATAAAAAAAATCCCACCTCTACTGTATCTCAAAAAGATTTTTACACGTGTAATGCACTACTATCATGACTATTGGTACAAATAATATCAAAATTATTGAAAAGTCTACCAGCTCTAACTCAAAATATTGACAATTCTATGTTAAGGGTGTCTAAAATTCAGTTTGACAGCTTCAGACATACTAATTTTTTTACCTTTTTTAACTGGACCAAATCACTACTTAACATAAATATTCAGTACCCAAATTTTTATTAACATGTAATTTCATCCCCTTACTTAATATTTCATGCATAAAATATAAAGAAATAAATTTGGAAAGTGTATGAAAAAAATTTGAAAGTTATACACTGTCCATACTAGGGACTATATTTGTGTCCTTGGACCATCTTCTTATTTCTATATATGTACCAACATGGCAGACCAATATGAATTAGAATAAAAGGAGAGCTTATTTATTATATACATGTAACCTGTTTACTGGTTGATGTTGTTTTTTTGTCAATATCAATTTGCCAGTGTTAGAAACTTCTGTCAGTTTAAATTTACTCATTATGACATGTATCATGATTACTTGTGAATCCACCAAAATAGACAATATAAGTAGTTCTCTCATTTTATTATTTTATGCATTATAGTGTCCCATAAGGCTGTCAGCATTGTAATGTCCACTCATACAATTTTTTGTCAATTGTAGGGTCCACCAAAGTTACAATGTCTAAAAGCTCATACATTATGTATCATACTATTTTTTGTAGGGTCCTCCTAGACTGTCAGGACTAGAAGCTCCTATAATGCTATTAACTGGTACAGAAGGAGAAATCTATACCTGTAAATTCTCACCTGATGGACAACTGATAGCTTCTGCAGGGTTTGACAGGCTTATTTGTAAGTACATGTATAAGTATTTGGTATATGTATATATATATTTTAAAGTGTTTTAAAGTGGATATTCAATATTTACTGTGCTTTATATGCTGAGTTACTCGTTAATTAGATGATGAAATTTTGAACAACTTTTCCCTGTAAAATTGGATCATTTACTACATTTTCATTTGACATTTTCAAGCCCATTTATTGAAGTACAAAGTAAAAACATCTCTTTACAACCTATTTCGATTGGTTATGTTGGCAAGTTTGAAACTTAGGCTTGACATACATGTAGGTTAGTTTTTCTAAGTGTTTTCAAATAAAAATATGATTAGATAGTAGGAAATTATAGACTTGTAAAATGTATACCAGCATTAAAGTTCTGTTATTTTAAAATTTGTATGGCTGTTCTGTTAAAAAAATCAAAGTCAGAAAGAAAAGGACAGACCCACTTAAAAAACTCATACCGGTAGTTTAGAATTTAACACTTTTGTTGTAACAAACCATTCTAGACACCATTCTAGATCAAGGGTCAATGATGTGCACAATAAGTACTTGTATTTCAGATTTCTTAGAATGTATTGAATTAAAATTATACACTACATTTTCAGGTTTTTGGAATGTATATGGTGAATGTGAAAATTTTGCAGTTTTAAAAGGTCACAATGGAGCAGTAATGGAAATACAGTTTTCTACAGATGGAAAGTGAGTATATGGTGGAACACCCAGGATTTTATTATTTTTAATTTTTATTTCTTCTTTTTTCCATATCGCACTTTCAATACCCCTATATTAAGTATATCCTGAATCCCCACTTTTTTACCACCTATATCCCACATCCCAAAAGTGTCATCCCCTTCATTACAAACACATTATATGTATATCTGAAATATGTCAGATATTTTAGTGTTAATTATGTCCCTTGTGTGGTTCTATTTTTAAAGAGGTTTAACTTAGTTGAAGGAGAGAGACTATATTTCACAATTCAAGCTGTTATATGCAGGGTTAATTTGTCAAACATATTGAGATAACATAAATATTAGTCACTGATTTTTAAAAAAATTTTTTGCATATAAAAATAAGAAGATGTGGTATGATTGCAAATGAGACAACTCCCCACAAGAGACCAAATGACATAGAAATTAACCATTATATAGTTAACAGAGCAAAATCCAGACCCCATAGTAAGCTATAAAAGGCCCTGAAATGACAAATGTAAGACAAATCAAACGAGAAAACTTATGGCTGGATTTATGTACAAAACAATAAGCAAAAACCAAATATGATATACAGCAACAAATGACAACCATTGAATTACAGGCTCCTGACTTGGGACAGGCACATACAGAATGGGGCAGGGTTAAACATGTTTGAAGGCACCACTGCTCCCCTAACCTGGGACAGTGGTATAACAGCACAACACAACAACAAACCATAAAAAAAACAATAAGACTATAAGAGAAACAGCAATAAACATCAACCACTCAATTACAGGCTCTGTATATCTGTAGGGAGGAATTGTGGTTTCTAGTCTGTGCACCCATCTGTTTATCCATCCTGTATCAGGTAAAGTTTTTCTTGAAGGGAACATAATGAAATTAGTTTCTGTCCTTTTCAGTACATTATTTTCTGCATCAACGGACAAGACAGTTGCATTATGGGATGTAGAGGCAGGCACAAGAATAAAAAAAATGAAAGGTCACACAAGTTTTGTGAATGCCTGCAGTGCTGCTAGAAGAGGACCACAAATAATCTGCAGTGGAAGTGATGATGGTACAATAAAGGTAAATAATCTGATGGGTATTTTGTATTGTTAAGGTATTAGAACTACATAATGTGTAATCAAAAGGTTAAAAGATAAAACATTTTTGAAGAAAAAAAAAAACAGTCCAGAAAGTATTAACTTTGTGGGTATTGTAATGTAATAACTATTCACTGAGTACAGACATTTGAGAGGGTTTGGATGGGGTTAACAGAATAGAGAATAATATAAAAATTGTGCAGAATAAAGGGCCAAAAAACAAAGAAGAAAGAATAAATAGGCAAAAAAATAAAGAATAGAGAAAAAATAGGCATAAAATAAAGAATAGAGAAAAAAAGGTCTAAAAGATAAAGAATTAAGAAATGAATGACCCCAATCCAGACCCTCATTTTAACACTCTATTAGAGCAATGTAGTCGGGAGAAAAACTTAGAAGGGAAGAAAATAAATATATATGATTTTCAAAAATCTGAAGGACTAAGGGAAATAACTCAATATACCTCCAAAATTAATCACCTGTACCAGTAAATAAAATTTATACTGCAATTAGTTGTGTTTATTGCCAAAATATAGTAACACAGCTGGATCACTTTTTCCACAATCAGGGGTTCATTAAGGGATGAAAATAAGTTTGAAATTTGTGTTACAATTTAAATAGCTACCAATGTATTAATTTCAGTTGCAGTCATGGCAGTATAAAAACAATATTAGGTCAATGTCAGAAAAATATAAACTTTTTTGTATTCAGCACAAAACTGGGGAAGGGCTTGGTAAAATCTTGCCCTTCCCCAGCTTCTCAGCCTCATACAAAAGAGTTTATATTTATTTGACCTAATATTGTATATTAACTTGAAGAAGTATTACCCATGTCTGATAGATGAAGTTGCAACTTAGATCTCCTTCTTATGTCCAGTATTGGTCAACAGATGATATTATGGTTAAGTGAGGACTCTTTCCAAAATCTTAATTGGAATGAAAATCTTTTTTGAGTATAAAATGTTTTGCTTTGATTGTACAATTTATGATCGAGGTTTTTACTATTGATTCATGTATTTGTACTCATTTCTGATGTTTAGAGATTCATCTAGTCTTCTCAAGGTCACAGGTTTATGGGATTACATCATGCTAAATGCATGTTTATCTAGTTAACGTGCACTATTGTATATAATTTTAATTTTAGAAATTAATATTTTTTAAATTAATACTGCTAACAGATTTTTTTTGTTTCAGTTGTGGGATGCCAGAAAAAGGGGAGTGCAACAAACATTCCAGAGTACATACCAAGTTACATCGGTCACTTTCAATGACACAGCAGAACAAATAATATCAGGGGGCATTGATAATGATATTAAGGTTGGTATTTAAAGGTTGTTCTATATCAGATACACAAAATCACATTTTATGACACAGTGTAGCCTTTTCAATAGTCGTCTATCGCGAAAAGGACGATAACTCAATTTTAGAATTTAATATTTTCGGAGACGGTCAATTTCCGGAAATGCATGCTTTATCATCATGGTTTTTTCTTTGGCCGTCGATGACGACAATATTGCTGCATTCTTTGAAAATAAGGTATATTTAACAAGACAGTATTATCAATGTATTATCGTGGTATCAATATATGTTAGCAATGTTAGATACCTGAATTAATTGTTATTTTGGCAAGGTCAATTCATCACTTCCCCTGAAAACATGATTTTGTATAAGTTCACTTATCGGCATCTCCGGGCGGCAAAGCAGATCAATTTCCTGATGATTTTTACTACGGCATTATGATTTTTATTAATTGCTACATATTACCGCTTTTTTAAATCAATTTTTGTTTATATTATCAACAAATAAGAGTAACATACTAGGTCAAGTTGTCGTTCGTAGTGTATAGTTTGTTCCAAACCAGTGTTTGTTTCTTGTACAGTTGGCAACTAAAACACATGTTATCTTCAGTGTGTGTGTGTTTTTTTTCTTTCTAATTAGTACATGTAGTAATTGTTTATAAAAACAATTTTTTTTCTAAATACATTTGGCAGATAGGATTATCATGTAATTGTTATTTCCCTTGTTTAAAAATAGAAATTGTGTGTTTCTATATTTAACGATTTACATGACACTTATTCAGTACATATTTGTTAAATTGAATAGATATTGCTATTTTGAATTCATTTGTTAAAGATATTTATTTAGGTTCTAAAGTTTAGTATTTGCTTCTTTGCTAATCATTTATAACCTTCGTTGAAAGACTTAATCATTTTATATAAGTTGTTTGGAATAATAATATTGATCAATTCTTTAAAAACACTTAAAGGCGCTATACAGGGGTAACTAGGCGAAGGGTATATAGGCTGTCAAGGTGATTTTAAACTTCCATCATCATCGATGAATTGTCTGTGGACTGACGTATAGTCCAACCATGGGAAGCTGTGCTCTTCCAAATTCTCCCTGAGGTTAGTGCATCTGCCATATGCCTTCTCAAAACGGTTAATTATTGCAGTCATTCAATGCTCCATTTCTCTACTTTTGGTCTACATGATACAAATTGAATAAATTATATATTGTTTCATTGTTTTTTTTTTTTTAGTTTTTTTTTCTTTTATTTAGATAGTGCTATTACATTAGGCATCAATCGATCGTAATAATTGCGCTTCTTATTTATCAGTTCACAAACTAGAACAAGCTGTGGTCAGCATCCCCTGCAGAATTGCTCCTTCTACATACATGACCCCCAATCCCTTTTCTTTTATGGCTATCATTAAGGGGGTGGACAGGGAGCATTGATTTACAGTTCCCTCCCCAAGATCATACTTCACTCCGTATTCTGTTCCTCTGCACTCCTATTTTTTCGTCAACATGAATTATCCCTGTTTTAACAACCCTTTCCTTACGGTTAACACCACCCTGACTCCAGCTTTCATCTATCAAATTCCCATTTCCAGCCCTCTCATTCCATAGTTCCCATAATTCTGTCCACCCCCTCATCAGTGTAACAATGACTCGCACCCATTAACAACCCATCATTTGGACACAAAATATATTATACTACCTGATTTGTTTCCTATATGCAAAAATTACGAGTCAGGACTTTTGCTTTAATAATGGCCAGTTTTTTTAACACATCTCATTTTTAACTCCCATGCTTTTTTTTTACTGTCAACTATATAAATGGCCTCAACGCATACAAGAACAATACAAAATATCTCTTCACAAATGTGTTGTCAAAATAATAAAAATGTACTCTTTCAATAAATATTCTTGCAATAAATTCATAGTCACTTTTAAAATTTTCTATAGAATAAATTGAAAAAGAATCAGACTTTCATACACTCAATTGAATTTTGAATGTTTCAATGTCTTAAATTGTCATTCTTACCTATTTATTTGATGGCGCCCTTATTACCCTATAATGAATCTTTCTTTTTTTTAAACCCACAAAGATTACATAGCAAATAAATATTAAGGGTTTTTATTAAAGTTTTCTTTACGGTTCCAAAGTGAGGAACTAATTATAAAACATGGATAAGCAAACTAAATACCTAGAAGATGTTTTAAAAAATAGACTATAGTTGATGAGATAACTCCTCATGTAACAAGATTTATCTCTCCTGTGATTAAAACACATTGAGATTGAGAATGAATTGTCTCCCTTTGCAGGCCTCTACAATAACTTTGTTTTCAACTTGTCCAGTAGGACAAGTACATACCAAAACTTACTTGTCCGAATGAAATTGTAACTTGTCCAAAAAAAATCTTAATAATAACCTTTTTTGCATTTTAAGTTGATTGAATTGAAACAATAGAACAGAATTTTATTTTAACATATCTTTTGCAATACTTTTCAAAAATATGAGTCGAGAACAACTGAATCTAGTCATGTCCCCGGACTTAGGTTCTAGTTTTCATCAATGCCAAAGTCTCATCAGACTCTGCACATGAGGCACCGTCTGATAGGATTACCAATGTACACTCATTGGATTTGTATCCTAGTTTTTTAAGTTGAAAAAAGTTTATTCAAATACAATCAATAAAAAAAAGAAGATGAGGTATGATTGCTAATGAGACAACAGAAATTAACAACTATAGGTCACCGTATTGCAAGTATTGTTTTTTTTATACATATGATCAAATATGGTTTTGTGAATTTTATGGTAAATAATTTCTTCATTTTTATTTAAAAAATATTTTTGTTAAAAAAATTACCAGTATGGTATTTATTATAAAGCAACAGAATAAGGTAGGAAAACGAGGTACTGATTTTTCTTGGTCCCGTAATGTCTCCTGCGTTACCAAACTGTCTATTAATTATGTCTATTAAATATGTCTCCTACGGTGCCAAACTAACTGTCTATTAAACTTGGAGCCGAATCTCTTCCGAGCTGGTGACGAACTGTCTTGTAAATTTACCTTATCTACAAAGCGCAGCGATATTCGGATCAGTATGACTGGTTTCCGAGAACTGTTAAATAGTACCTGACAAAGAACCAGTTTTAAATTATCGATTGCAAGTAAACATGTCAAAATAATACTTGTTTTTATCTTCTTTTCTTGTTTTTGGTTTATAATTACTTTGTTCATCAAAGTTGGATTAAATTTATTTTCTGCAGAATAATTGTACTTGTCCCGTCGGACAAGCTTGATATAGCTTTTACTTGTCCGACCTTTTTTCCTCTGGTACCGGACAATCGGACAAGCGTTATTGTCGAGCCCTGCTTTGATAACAGCCAGTACCAAAGCACAATTATTTTTTTTTGTGATTTTTTATTGATTAACAATAGTTAAATATAGAAAAAGGATAATACTTCCAATTTCGAGGTCTCACAAAAGCTTTTTTACCTGTTATTCTAATTTAACATTAAAAACCAAATTCAGATGAAAAGGCTACACAGTGGTAATAACTTAACAAGATCAAATAGTGATAGCTGCAAGATCTGTTGTTAGCTTGCCACTGCACATCTTGGTTGAAATTAGCATGGATGCTTACACTTTAGTTTACAGTAAATCAATGGTCCATCATAAGTGCCAAGGCTCCGTGTTGAAGGTCATACTTTGACCTATAATTGTTAACTTTTTATACATTGTGACTTGGATGGAGACTTGTCTCATTGGCACTCATACCATATCTTCTTATTTATAATAATCTGGAAATGTGAACAGAAGGCGTTAATGTTATCTTAGCTGGAAAAGTAACAATCCTATATACCTGACAGGTAAATTTTGGCAAAACCATAGACATAAAATATCCACAAAAATACAAGTTATGAAATGTAGAACAGTACCTAAGGATGTGCATGAGTTGATATAACCCTGGGCTAACATGTCAGAGGGGAGATAATCCAATTTACTTTTTTTTAATATTGCAATATGTGGAAATAGTCTCTCCTATGCACAACTTCTCCTAAATGGCTAGGCAGACATTTATGAAACATTACACAATTATGAAAACCTTCATGTACCTGAAATTTTGCATGTATGAATACAATACCAGTCCATCATTCTAAAAGGGAGACAAATTAGCGGGTCAGTGTATCCTTTTGCGAGTTTCACAGTTCAAGTTCATATACAAGTTGATTTTATGGATCTGCCAATTTCATCAAGTAAATAATCATGCATAAATTGCAATGGGTGAAACTATCCTATAAATCAGACACGTTGTATAAACATCACAGAAATATGTGACAACTGTAGCTCGATTATATTTTAAAAGATAATTTTTCTGTCATTCATTCTTTTCATTTGAGCATACATTTTAAAATTTATTGTTTGACCTGCGCAATTCTTATAAAGACACGAAATATTTGCCACTGTACATTAAAATTAGAATATATTGAATTTGATTATATGTCAATGATAGTCTTAGGTTTTATAGACAGATGTTTTAAATATTATTTCATTAAGTTCAATTTGTGATTTTTAGGTCATTAATTGGTGTCAGCAGGTATTCAAATATAGTAAAGTTGCTCCTTAATTGATGATTATATACTGCTTCATTTGTAGGTTTGGGATTTACGGAAGAATGATGTATTATACCGACTTCGAGGACATGCTGATACACTGACAGGCCTGACCTTGAGTCCTGACGGTTCATATTTACTGTCTAACTCAATGGATAATACATGTAGGTATTATAGCTTGATAATATGGCTCTAACTCAATGGATAATACATGTAGGTATTATAGCTTGATAATATGGCTCTTACTCAATGGATAATACATGTAGGTATTATAGCTTGATAATATGGCTCTTACTCAATGGATAATACATGTAGTTATTATAGCTTGATAATATAGCTCTACTCAATGGATAATACATGTAGATGTTATAGCTTGATAATATGGCTCTAACTCAATGGATAATACATGTAGGTATTATAGCTTGACAATATGGCTCTAACTCAATGGATAATACATGTAGGTATTGTAGCTTTATAATATGGCTCTAACTCAATGGATAATACATGTAGGTATTATAGCTTTATAATATGGCTCTAACTCAATGGATAATACATGTAGGTATTATAGCTTGATAATATGGCTCTAACTCAATGGATAATACATGTAGGTATTATAGCTTTATAATATGGCTCTAACTCAATGGATAATACACATAGGTATTGTAGCTTGATAATATGGCTCTAACTCAATGGATAATACATAGACAATTATCATGGTTACAGTGTATCAACTTGATATATGTAGAATAACCATATTTTGTCTCAAAATATAAAAAAAATTCATACAAGGCTAAGAAACAGGAAAATGTGAGGCTTGGCTGAGATGCTAAATTATTAATAATTTATATTTTCATTGACTGATAAATTCCTCTTGTTTGAAAATGACAATTGTTACTTTGTGAAAATGTGAAAGCGTCATTTATAAATCATAAATCCCTTTGGAAGTATACAGATTGTCTTGCCATCTGTCTGTTACAGTCTGTAAGATATTTTTCTTTCTATTTTCAGTAAGAATATGGGATATAAGACCATTTGCTCCACAAGAAAGATGTGTTAAAATAATGCAAGGTCACCAACATACTTTTGAAAAGGTAAGTCTAGATTTGACAAGGACTGGTCCAGGGGGTTGCTTCAAAACAGTCTGGTGCTTTTCTGATATTATTTTCATTTATCCATTCTTACAGATCAAGTAAATTCATGAAAAAATTTATAAAAAATAAGTTTGATGCCTTAGTGGTCAGAATAATGTGTCCAAAATCATTGCCATGTCTTCTTGAACTGAAGGGAACAGAAAACTTTTGAGCTATCACATTTAAATAAATTGAGAATGGAAACCCACTTTAGTATTCATTATGTATTCATTATTATTTGTTGGGTACCAAGTTTCATAGATGTCATGGGTACAGGTGAAAAACAAATTTAAATGTTTAACGAATTACAAATTTTCTATAAAGTTGTAAATCTAATTTCCACAAATGTGCAAGTTTTACTAAATCCATGAAAACTGGTACCTATGAAAATAAATCAATTCACGGTATTTAATATTTTATACAGATTATAAGATTTCCTGATGAATGATGAACAACTGTCCGACTGTCCTTGTCCTTTGTATATCATGATCAATAATTTTACACCTCAGCGATAGAAATATTGAAAAAAAGAATCAAACATTTAGATCTTTGTATGATTTCTTTTATTTTATTGAAATTCATAATTATCTTTCAGAATTTATTACGATGTAGTTGGTCTCCAGATGGCAGCAAAGTAGCAGCTGGGTCAGGTGACAGATTTGTTTACATATGGGACACCACGTCACGGAGAATTTTATACAAATTACCAGGACATGCTGGATCAGTAAATGAAGTTGACTTTCATCCGAACGAACCCATAAGTAAGTTTCTCACCATGATGCACTGCATATGCTTGTGAAACAAAAACACCTCAATTGCTTAGTTTAATGACAATATAATTGGTATAATTTGCACAGAATCTAAAATATAAATTTTGAAAGTGTAAAACAAAAATGTTGTAATGATAAGTAAATTCATGATAAAATTTATAAAAAATAAGTTTGACGCTTTAGTGGTCAGAATAATGTGTCCAAAATCATTGGCATGTCTTCTTGAACTGAAGGGAACAGAAAGCTTTTGAGCTATCACATTTAAATAAATTGAGAATGGAAACCCACTTTAGTATTCATTATGTATTCATTATTATTTGTTGGGTACCAAGTTTCATGGATGTCGTGGGTACAGGTGAAAAACAAAAATTTGCTACACTATAGACAATATATTACATGTAATACACAAATAGCTTCTCATTGCAATAGATGAACAACTAAATAACTAATTATCCTTTATACTTAGAAAAACTGAGTAAGACTTGGCTAAAAAAAAAATGAAAACAACACGATATAAATTTCATGTTTCTGAAGCTCTTTTCTGGATTAACCTTCATCAGGAACGCTTAAAGCTGGATATTTGAAAGCCAAGTATGTATAAGAACCAAAACAGTTGAAGAGCTATATGACAAAAAAAGACCTTAAAAAATAGCTAAAATCCATCTAACACATGTCTAAGGTCAACTTTGCCTGAGGAAGTTGAAACCTTAGTTTCTTTATAATTTCATAATTTATAAATGGACAATTTTAGAAAGGTTGGTTATAATTTTACAGGGACTTTTTAGAAAATGATAGAGAAGTCCAAGACCTTGGTAATATCCTGCTATTTTCACATTGTGATCAATATTGAAGTGATTTTATATATTCTTTCTGTTGTAAATTGCTTGATAATAGAAGTATTTACTTATTAACAAATTTATTGGCCACTACTTATAACCACACAAGTTCCAGCGAAATATTGCATCACAATTTAAACATTTGAAGTCATAATCAAAAACTGATTATTACATGATGCCTAAAGGTTATTCGATGACAATTCTGCTAAATACCCAAAAGTTTGAATACATCTGTATAAATTGATAATATTAATAAAATATGTTTATATTTTTTCAGTTGTATCAGGATCAAGCGACAAAAAATTATACCTTGGAGAAATAGAATGACAATAGATCTAACACCAAGGAATCTAAGATGTGTTGATTAAGACCTTTTTTAAGACTGTTGATCCCAGAGACATTTAATAAAGGCAGCAGACATTTACATATTCATCCATTGTATAATACCAAACAGAGGCTAGGATCTGAAACAGAATGGATGTTGGATAGAATACATGTGCAATTCATGTTTTTATATATAAAATTTTTGAACATAGACTTTTTACTATTAATTTATCATTATAATGGTATTGTTAGCTCATCTAGATCTGCCAAAAGCCCACACAAGTTTTTGCCATCACATAGCGTCCATCCTGGTATAAAGTTGTTTGTTGTCTGGTCTAAATGTTTTCAAAGATCTCCTCCAAAACTACTTTAAAAACAATTCATACCAATTATTATAAAAATAAGTAGATGTGGTATAAGAGCCAATGAGACAAATATCCACCAAAGTTCTAATGAAATGGATGTAATCCTTATGGTGTCTAGGCCACATTTAAAAATATGTTTGTTTCCCCTCTCCCGACCCTGGATTTCAGAGGAGTATAGGTAGGTAGGTTAAAAGTTTTTTTTTTTTTTCTCCAGCAGTATTCAATGTATATTGTAAATTTCCATGACCGTAATGTTTCTTGACTTTTGATAGAATCCAATGAAAAATTAGAAACTTCCGGTCACCAGAAAATGACGGTACAGGAAACAACCGCGAAATTTTTCCAGAAATAAAAAAAAATGTAGCAAAAAAAACGGAATAAAAACTTTCTCTGAGTCGGTCGCGCGAGGGGGAAACAAACCATATTTTTGTTTTGGCCCTAGACTATAGGATAGCTTTCTGGAATTAATATGATGATCTGACAGACTGAGTGTTCTAAAAAGAAAACAATACGACAGTTCTTATCTAGAATTATACAAAACTAGACCACAAATTTTGGAGGAATAACAATGTCCTTGAAAAGTCTTGACAATTTTGGATTTTGGTTTTTGTGCAGAACGTCTCCACTACAGTAAATGGATGATTGCTATCTATTGTAAACCTTCATTACAAATTTAGAAACTCTAAAAGTATCAGTAGAATTGAGAATGGAATGTGTCTTTCAATTGTGGCAATCTATACTCTGTCTAAAAAAATATAAATTATACCTTCAGAGGAATTAGTTACATTGGAAAAGTTTTTATGCCCCACCTATGATAGTAGAGGGGCATTATGTTTTTCGGTCTGTGCGTCCGTTCTTTCGTCCGTTTGTCTGTCTGTCCCGCTTCAGGTTAAAGTTTTTGGTCAAGGTAGTTTTTGATGAATTGAAGTACAATCAACCTGAAACTTAGCACACATGTTCCCTATGATATGATCTTTCTAATTTTAATGCCAAATTAGTTTTTTGACCCCAATTTCACGGTCCACTGAACATAGAAAATGATAGGGCGAGTGGGGCATCTGTGTACTATGGACACATTCTTGTTTAATATGCACTTATAGAAAAATTGAGCTGTAATATGGTACCGATCTCCAGTTAGTTTTAACGGAGGGACTAACACCCACAATGTATGGCCTTATTATCTCAGAATCTAAATGTGAACATGGCCAATAAGTTCATCATTTTGATGTTCAATTTGCTTTTGATGAGATCTAGCTACATTTCCGCTTAATAAGATCGAAAAAACATGAAATCGAGAATAATATCATCAATAGAATAATGCTTGCAGGCAAACCGTGATTTCCAGTCTTTGCCTTAAGAAATTCGAGGTTGCTTTCCACTTGCTGATGGGTGCTATCACTACTAAACAAATTGTCAGAATAAAAAATCCATGAAATCATATCCAGACAAATACTAGTAAATTTGGACAATCCTAACAATCACCTTAAATCGGCCGTAGCGCACTTGTTAAGGAATTGAGGCAAAGGGGGTCTGGGGGCAAAGGGGGTCTGGGGGAACAGCGGGACGATATGTTTTTGTTATATTGAACTGTAAGCTTACGTTTTCCTGACAGGACACTAAGGGATGTTCAATCAATTTTAGATATGTATGAATTGCCTCAACCCATGCCAGTAGTCAGCACTTTCGTGTTGACATGGATTATCATTGATATATGGTAATATTAATAAATTAATTCTTTACAAAACATTGAATTGTTCGAAATACTACGGATTTTCAACCCCAGGAATAGAAAACCTTAGATGTATTGGCAAAACCTTTCAGAATTTTTGGTTCTCATTGCTCTTCAACTTCGTAGTTTATTTGGCCTTTAAACTTTGATTTGAGCGCCACTGGTGAGTATTTTGTAGATGAAATGCGCGTCTGGCATGCTAAATTATAATCCTGGTGTCTTAAATGAGTTTTTTTTTTTTACATATGCTTAGAATGAACTAACCGTCTACACTAAACTGGAAATCTTTAACTGAAAATGCCAATAGCGAAATGAAATACTTTTTAAAATAGAAGACCATTCATAAATAAGGCTATAAGGTTTCATGTTTTCAAAAGAAAGATTGTCAAACACGTCCCTGTAAAGTTAAGGGGAATTTCATACTTTCAAATGGGAAGAAATTTGAAAATCAACTTTTAAAATTATAATGATTATATCTGGAGAATATTTCTTTTATTTTTTTGTCCAATCGGAACGAAGTTCAATACCTTTATAAAAGAGCATCCATAATTTTTTAGCTAGTAGATCTCCAGACCAATTAATTTCAAAGATGATAATGAATCTGTACGTTGTGGATACCAATACTGGCTTTAATACAACGGTAGAGAGAGCGCTGTCGATTTATTGACGGTGCGCGAGAGCAGTTTTGAAGCTCTCAACGCTCGGTGCCTTCAAGGTGGTTCCACTCGATCACTGTTTTCACGAAAAATGAGTTTTAATATTGTGGTGTTTAGCTCGTTTGGAATCTCAAAACAGTTTGTGTTGTTCTTAACTTGTTTTTCCACAATATGTATTGTCTGATAGTTGTCAAATTTCTTGGCATAGGGTTCAATGCAACCTACCCTATACGAAATCATTGTCGCCTATTCAGTTTGAACCGAAGATTTTTCTGAGGGTCTCACTATAATCAGCCCCATATGCCACCCATACATTATATCTCAAGTTTACCCTGTAGGAGGGTCGTAATGGGGGTACCTTCATGACGAATAACGGTAAAAAAAATCTTGCCAAATGACGGTAACGGTCTTTTTGGTGCATGACGATGAAATTTACATTTTCTTTATGACGATAAAAAAATCGACTGATTTTGACGAATCACGATAAATTCTTTCCAAAAATAACGGAAACGGATAATGATTTGAGACCTGTGACGAATCACGATAAAATTTTAACCAATATGACGTTAACGGTAACCGAAAATGACCGTTTAACGACTGACGGTAAAGAGCATTCCTATCCTCATGTAGCCGTTCCGAAAACACATGAAATGTTGACTTCCTATAGGCCCATGTATGCATGACTCCCAATCAGTAGAAAAGGAAAATTCTTCGTAGAGGGCCACTCAATCATCATTCTTATGAAGTTCAGAAAGGTATGATACTTTAGAGAAAAAATAGCATCAAACTCAAGAGTTCAAATGTCTTCTAAGCTTGATTAATATTTTTCGCCGGAACAGAACGAAATGAAGTGTTTTCATTACTGACTGTCCATACAAGAGCGCGTGGATGTGGTTCACAGAATAGAGAATAATGGGCTAAAGAAATAAAGAATAGAGAATAATGAGGTGCTAAAATATAAAAAAAACCTGCGAAAATGAAAGAATTTGGTAAAAATACGCTGATTATAGAAAAGAACAATGTCCAGAATACAGTAATCAAATAGTTACAGAATAATCATTATTTTTAAAGATAAAGAATAGTGAGCGAAATTATTGAAGAATACAGAAATGAAGGACCCCCATCCATACCCTCAAACAATATTTCAGTTGGCCATGTAATTTCTGAGAAAAATAAGAACATTTGATTTTCTATCGAGATTAATTGAACTCTTAATGGGTACACAATGAGCATTCTACATACAAGGTCTCCCTATCACCATTCTTATGAAGTTCGAAAAAAGGGGGCGAAGCGTTTCTCTGTGTAAATGGGAAACACTATCGTTTCTGTTTTCTTAAATTATAATCAAAACCTTATAAGTTTGTTTCAGATTGGTCACTTAGTTTCAGACGGATCTTCATTGGAACCTATGTGCCATCATTGCTGTCATGTTTGTCACGCAAACAGATCAAATGATAATTCATTTGAGGGTTTTCATAATCATCACTCTGAAATATTGTGAAGGGTCTGACTTGGTAGTTTCAGAAAAGATATTTGAAAATAGTTTAATTAAGAATCTAGAACGACATCTGGTAGCCATGTTTTGCCGAATTGGGATGAGATGAAACAATTTTATGAAAACCTTCTATGCATTTAATTTTTTTTTTAAGTTTGGTGCAGATTAACTCAGGTCTGTTGTTTCAGATAAAAAAAGTTATTTCCCAAAGGTATTTGCAACATACATGCATGTGCATGACATCATTGCCGCCCTGATGCCACTCAATCAGTACGAAATAGGGAAACTTTGTAAAGGGTCTCCCAAAAATTATTACAATCAAGTTTAAAAAGGTTAAATTATTTAGTATCAGAGTTGAAGGGGTTTGAAAATTGACCATCTAGAATAATGAATTTCTTCCGGTGACCATGTTTTTATTCGACAACTTTAATAAAGAACCTTATAAACTTATTCTGTCAAGTTTGATCAATATTGTTTCAATATTTTCAGAGGAGAAAATAAAATGTGAAAAGTAAATGAACTGACGACGGGCGTCTATACATTGACAAAAAGGACTCACATTTGTTACTGTGGAAGGAATCTGGGGAAAGGGCGTATGGAAGTACACAAGAGGTAATGAGGGTTTGCATACCTTCTTTTCAATATGTATAATAGATAAGACCTGTACAAACTGTTAATAAGCTTGCATATATTTTTGAGGAGGTGACACCGAGTTGCTCATTTCCCAAATCCTGCTTTTTTGTAATTTTTCCAAAAAATTCTCGTATTTACCTTAAATCAATGGTTTTGATAAGAAAAAAAAAATACACACTGTAAATATTAGACCAATTGGGCAATTATTTACCTTGGTACAGTGTATCCAATTTCATTATATATGGAAAATACATTGCCTTGTATCGTCTCTTTTGTTGACTAGTATATCTTCGAAAACTGCTTCAAACAAACCATTCACATTAATTTAGTAGAAC